TGACTTTCAGTGCAAACAGTTCTAATGTTGTTGGTTTACTTCTCTTCTAGTATAGTATTATTTAAGAGCTTATGTAGCTACTTTCCTGCTCATGCACGGTATCCTTATAGACAAGTTGGTGTATCCAAAGATTATTCTGTGCCCAAATTTAATTATCAGTAGGTTTTGTATTCTGTACAATGCTCACTTTTATCTTTAAATAGTTCTCTCTTTTATTAGTTTTAATGCTCCAGATGTTTTTGTGCTCTCCCACTCCTAACTAGTGACTTTAAAATATTTTTATTGTTATTTTTAAGAACAATGAGGAACATTGCAGACTATCATAAAAGTTTCCCTGCCATTGTAGAGATCAGTGGTAAGCTCCTTTTTGAGGAGCTTGATTTCCCATCCCTCATTTCCCCCCACCTTGGTATGATGTATCAGAAATAAAGATAATTCAGAAAATAAAAAGGGGGAATAGAGGATGTTTTCAGGCTTTATTCATTGAAATATAAAATTAGTTCTTTTACAGGAAAAATGTTATTGTAAAATTACACAGATTTGTAGAACAGAAGATAGTTACCTTCCTGTGACAGAGCAAAGAGACATTTAATGAAATTTCATTAATTTCAGTAAAATTCAGTAATTTTAAAATTACTCGGAGAGAGAAGTGTTTCATGAAATGCAGTATTTTCTCTGGAATTTGTCCCGGGGTTTCACTGCCCAAAGAGCCTAGTGAGATTCGGAGAAGAACTGGATATAAAATTCTTTGTATCACCGCAGCAGCGGTGCTCCCTTCCTCCTGCCCTTCACCGCTCACTACTGCATTGAGACTTGTGCTACCGTGGCACAAACCAGTATGGTAAAGCGATCCTACTGGAAAATGGTGGGGCAGAAAAGTGGATAGTCTTGCACCTGGGTTGGTTTTCTGGGGTGGTACACAAGAGGGGGAATGGTGTCGGTGGTGCTGCCTCTGGAAGGAGGATAGGACAACTTCTGTTAACCACTTTTGATACAAAAATAAGCAAGGAACTAGAGTATTACTCAGTGAAGGGATTTTTTTTGTATCCTGCTTTGATGAAGGAAAGGCTGCTGTTCAAGATAGTTATTAGTCTGCTTTGATGCCCGCAATCTGATCCTAAATTAGAATTGCTCTGTTGGGATTCTGGTAGTTCTCCAGCTCTTGATAATTTTTGCTCTCTTTTTTTAATGTGCAGCTTCTTCCAGTTTGTGATACCTGGGAAGACACAGTTTGGGCATATTTCAGGGTCATGGTGGACACTCTTGTTGAGCAGGAAATACGAACCTCAGTAATAACTGCAGAGGAGATGGAAGAGCTCCCTAGAGATTATTTAGAAACAAAGTGAGTTTTAAGTAAAATTATGCTCCTACACTCAACAGAAGATCCTGTATAAGCTGTTTGGAATATTCAAGGTAACGTTTTGCCTTTTCTCTCCTATTTTGAAGCTGGACTTCAGAAAAGGTTTTTGAAGAACTTCAGGCAACAGACAAAAAGGTACATATTAATTACAGTGTTTCTCCTTACTGCTCACCACTTTTAACGATTCCCTAGGTTTTGCTTTCACTACACTATTTAACGAAATGCTCAGATATGCACAGTGACTGATTTAATTTAGGGTTTCTACCTCTGTAATATGTAACTTCTCAATTCAAATAGATTTTTCTATATGCTGCCACCTTTTAATGATGAAAAATACACAGGTTTTGTCCTGCTCCGTGTCTGCCAAACTGTCTGGGTGTGCTAAAGAAACAGCTGACTGTCAAGTGTTGTCAGACATACACAGCAGACAAAGTAGATCAGCTATTTAGCACTTTGATAAAATGTGTAAAGATTGATAACGTGCTGTTTTCTTTGGAGGAGGTTTTGGTTTTCCTTATAGGAGGTTTATGTGCATATTTCAAAACAGGCCTTCCAAAATTTAAAAGGATATTTGCTTAAACAGACTGTGTTTCTTTGTTACTTTTAACACCCAAAATACTTCATTTAAGATGAAATATATAACTTACATATTTTGTAATTGTAATTTTGTAAAGATTAAATTGAAACTACACTTCCTTTTATTTGAGGGAATAGACACGTAGCATTTATTATATTGCTGAGACAAAGACATGTTGAAAGACGGCCTATAGATTGATGCAGTCAGCCACAGATACACCCGGCTGCCTTTGCCTTTCAACAGCAGCCTTATGGGTGCATTCGGACTGTATTTCATGCATTAATTCTTCCACCAGGAAACAAAAAAAAAAAGTTTCTTTAGGGCTTTTCTTTAAGGATTTATACACATTGTTGCTTCTGGTGTGACTTTGTAGAATCTGTTCTCTGTAACATCATTATTTATTCTCCTCTTCAAAGCAAAAAGCCCTTAGTCTTGGATCTCTTCCAGCAAAGTATTAACTCCACAGATCTATATTCTGGTTCTTTCTTTCAGTTTGTCAGTATTCTTGTAATTTGACATTGAGATAGCAAGTGTCTTTTCCCCTGCTCCTTAAGCAGAATACCCTTTGAAATAGGATAGCTTTTTTCCCTAAAGAGCCTTTGCTTTATTTATAAGTTTGCTTTCTCTATATATTATGCTGTAAGATTTTATTCAACGTTTGAACTTTCTTTTTCTCTCCCCAGAGGGTTATAGAGGAGAATCAAGAACACTACCATGTGATTCAGAAATTCATTATACTGGGAGATGTGGATGGTGAGCTTTTCTCGAAGTGATTTTTAAATGTCAACTGACTGCATTATTTCTGGTGACCTTTCCAGAAATGTATATGTGAATGGATTTTAGAAGCACGCAGTAGGCAAACTCCACCTAAAAGCTAAGCTGCTGCTTTAAGCAAGAACTGTAGGGACTTTCTGCTGTTTGACGTACAAAGCAGTTTTCAAAGAACTCATGAAATCATGTAAATGTGTCAGAATATATGTGAGACTGTTGCTATAACTCTTTCTGAGAAATGACAAAATACATACAGCAGATATTTAAGCCAAACAGCTAAATCTTTCCAAAACTGTTGCCGTTCTGTTTTGGTGGGCTTTTCAGGCTAAATTATATTTGTTGAATAAATGCACAATTTGGAAATATTTCTTAGGTGGTTTTTTTCCCCTATGATGTGGCTAATACCGAGATTTCCTTGGTGGCTATAGGTTTGATGGAAGAATTCAGCAGATGGCTTTCCAAAGACAGAAGTGTGCTCCCAGGACACCTCCTTCGTTTCATGACGCATCTTATTCTGTTTTTCCGCACTTTGGGTCTGCAGACTAAGGTAAGTTCACTCGTGTTTGATTTGTTGTCATAGAAATAGCTAGTCTTTGAAGTAGAAATGCTTGTGTGTAACTGTATAAACTCATACAATGATGGTAAATTACTACCAGGCAGATGGAGAGCTGCATGCTTAGATCTTGGGGCCTAAACACAACAGGCAAAATTAGAAAAGAACATCGTCCTCTCTTCCAGTTTAGCTTGAAAATTATTTTTTGAGGATGATGGATTCTACTTATAAGCCCTTTATTGAGAAGGACCTGACTCAGACTTCAATGTTAGGCTTATTCCTAGCAGCCAAGATGCTTTGAATCTAACCTGATCTTACACAAAGTCCTTGGAGGTTGTACCTGTTGCTGTAAGCTCATGAATGTTTTTGCTTGAGGTAACTGGTACTAGCTCAAACTTTCATATTTTTCTCCAAACATAGGCTAAGGATAGCCTACTAGCTACCTAGGCTATTTACGCTAAAGACGCAGATGGGTCACGTGGCTGCAATTACTCTTTTGTGAGGCAATCACAAGTAATTAGAAGCTTTTTCCTTTTCTACTGGTTTAAAATTTAGAAGCGCTTACGTATCAAGTAAGTTTCTGGATGTAACCTATTTTGGCAAAAGAGAAATGTGTGTTTTCATTAGGTGATTTAAATAACAGCTTTGAATTACTATGATTTTTCATGCCTCTAATCATTGCTTCGTTCCCTTGTTGAAATTTATTTTGAAGTCAGTTATTGTTTAGCTAATAAAGAGGAACTGGGGCAGGAGTGTATGTGTGTGTATACATACACATTTTTTTAGCCAGACTGAAAATCCGATACAGTACGTCTTTAAGCTAAAGTATGGTAGAACTAGTCATTAGCAGAGGGGACAAAAAAGGTGCAATTCCCTACATAAATTCCATTGTGGGATTGAGTGTAACTGTTGATTACAGTCTCTGCAGTTTTGGAGTAGGTGAATTTACTGGAAGATTGCTCAATCAACCCTCAGCAGACCTCAGACGGAAGAGGCAGTTGTGCAAGCTTTTATGATGTTCCTTATTTAACGTTTGAGTACAATTCTTATAGGTATATGCTTACATGGAGATCTCTAATTTCATTTACAAACATAAAACTAAAATGATAGTTCTTCACAGTAACAAACATTTGAGTCTTAGCTAAAGCAGTCTCAGGTGCTCGGACTATACTTGGGTTGTTTAGGCTCTGACAGGCTGTTTAGGCTGTTTATAGGCTGTGACACATGAGCCAGGTGATAGTTATACCCTGTACACAGGGGCATTAGGGTTTTCTAGAATACAACAGTGCATGTAGCACATGGCAACACTCACTGTTTGCCTGGCGTTTTGTTTATTAATATTTCTAAAAAATGGCAAAAAGGAAAGATTTGAAAAATAATTTAAAAAGTGACATTCCAGTTAGACCAAAACCTGTATCATCCGGTTGCTGAAAAAGAAAATCCTTGGAACACTGAACCCTTGAATCAGAAGATGTGGGGTTTTTAATTGCTCTCCAAGAGAAACGGTTCTTCAGCTCAGCCTGTTTGAATGTGTGGATTACTGAAGCGGGGATAAGCAAATAACCTCGTGTCTGTGTAATAATGGTAGCCTGGTTTGGGGTTGGGTTGTGGGTTTTTTGAGTTTGGGTTTGTTTGGGTTTGTTTCTGGGGGGGTTTTGCCACATTATCTGATTTAAAATTGAATTTATATTTGTTTGCACTAAGGAGGAAGTTTCTGTTGAAGTCCTGAAGACGTACATTCAGGTAAGCTTTCAAAAATACAGTTTGCTTTCTCTGATGTAATTTGGACGTAAAGGAGGAAGAAGAGGAGACAGGATGGAAAGAGCTGTGACGCAGTTAATGCTCTCTTCTCAAGAGATACATGGAAGCTGGCCGAATATGTAGAGTTTCTGTCAGCAGTGCTTAAATAAGAGACAGTTTTATTGATCCTTGTGTAGAAGCTGAGAAGTGGAATCTTCCTATATCAGAACGAAATAAACAGAAATTCGTTACACATTTATGTTTTCCCATGTTTACAGAGGAAGATAGTATGTTTTTCTGAATATTTACTTCTTTCTTTGCAGCGGATGATAGCTGAGAAGCACACAGATTTAATAGCATTTTATGTTAGCCACTTGCCACCAGAGCTAGCTGTTGCTCAGTATGCTTTATTTCTTGAAGATGTTACTGAAAGCGATCAACGCCACCACTGCCTTGAATTAGCAAAAGATGCAGGTGAGATATGCTGATATTCCAGTTATCATTTTATACCCTGGGTTGTTTTGTCTTTCAGTAGTTTTTAATGCAAGACCTAGCGATGATAATGATGATGATACTGTTTCCTTCCTGTATCACTTCATTTTTCCATTAAATAAAATTAATTTTCTGATCGCTTCTTCAAGTAGGCATATTGTAGTTTTTAACTAACCTGGAATTGCAATTCTTTTTCTGAATTTAAACTAAATATTACTTTTGCTTCTGGATTATGTCCAAACACAGCAGGAAGCAAATGCCAGCGGCCTGTCTTGGATATATGCTCTGAAGCCTGACATGATTGTATTATTTCAGCAAACTAATTATAAAAATACATACCGGTTTGTGGATTTAGGAAGGTTATGAGTATCTTCATTTTTTTTTTTGTCCTGTTTGTAGTGCTCGCTCTTAGCTGTGGTGGGTTGCTTGTGTTAATTGTAAGCTTCCTTCCAGGCCTATACATCAAACTAAAAGGGACTACAGTGAAGCAGCACGTTGTCCATTGACAATACGTCTGTGCCATTCAAAATTCACAAAGAAATAGATTTACTGCAGACCTTAACTTTTCTTCAAACATTTTTTTAGTCATTTTCTTTTAAAAACTTGGCTAAGGTTTCAAAAATAAAATATTCTGCTTAAGATAAAAATAAAATATCCTGTAAAAGAACTGTTCTGAGTTTTTCCTGGTACATTCCTGTCAAATTATAGTCTTGCTGTCAGCATTGTAGGAGTCTTAGCAAATCTATCTATAAGCTGGTCCCCAGCACAGACTGAAAACCTTGTTAGTTGTCTTACTCTTTTTCCCGTGTTCGATCTCTGTTATTTCAAATATCGTTCTTCTAAAATACCTGCAATAAATTACATATCTCAGCAGCTTATAATTTAGTCTGACAATTTGTGTGTGACTAGACTGATAAGAATTACTAGTAGTAAGGAATAAGATCAACAACTGGAGTCTGAAATTCAGTGGCAAGTTTGAATTCACGATCGCTCTTACATGGCTCTCTCTTAACCCAGGTCTGGATGTTGCAACCATCACAAAAACTGTTGTTGAAAACATCCGCAAGAAGGATGCTGGTGAATTCAGTCACCATGACCATATGTTAGAGATGGGCACCACGGAGGTGAGTGTACTTCGTAGGGCAGATACTCCAGTTCGCAGTCAGTTACGCAGTCTTTTACTGTATGGATACGATCCGTATTTTTCTTTCAACAATGGTGCAAATTGCCTTGAAAAAGCCTCTTGAGGGAAACGTGCTTTCCATGTGACCAAGCGAGGAGTCGAATTGCACAAATTCATAACTTCATAACTGTTTCTGCCTCTCCCTGATCTTCTGGGCTGTGGTGTACGCTGCTCAGCATGTCCGTATGCAAACAATAAGTGAAGATAAAGCCCACGAAATGACTGTAATATGTTGTAGCTGAGAGTAGGATATTATTGTAGCTTCCAACAATTATGAGGATTAAGACTTTGGATCTCAGATGTGCGTTATGGCTTGCTCAAGTGACATATTTTAGCTACTATAGACATTGCTTTTACTGACAGTTTCCTTGTCGTCACTATTGAGTGTCGGTTGGATCCAACTCAGTGCTTTAGTGACAATGAGGTACTGTTAATTGCTTGCATTCAAAGCACTCTTTAGAAAGCAACTGATAGTTTGCAAACTCCTGGCAATTCTTTTTGCTGTTCAGTACGAAGTTTAAACACTCCAAGCCAAATGGGTAGTTTATCTGCAGCCTGGTGGCACCCCTGAAGATTGTAGCCAGGGCTCCAGAAACTGTGTTTGTACAGTGGACTCATGTTAACGTTTGAAGAAGGTGCATGCTAATCCATAACAATTTTTGAGAACTGATGCTCATCCGTTGGTCTGAATATCTTGGGAATAGTTAGGAATGGATATTTGAATGAGTCTAGGTTGCAGAGATTGTTTTCTAAGCTTTTGGTTACTAAAGTTGTGAATGAAGCGATCCTTGTTAGTATGTCACAGTGTTACCCAAAGATCTCTAGAAAGTTGTGTATTTCATTGACCAGACCTGATGTGTCTAACATCAGCTGTAGGCTTGAAATGTCAGTGAATCTGTGTGTTGGTTTTTACAGGCGGATCGGCTGAAAATAGATGTAATTGACTGGCTCGTGTTTGATCCTGCACAGCGGGCAGAAGCACTTAAGCAAAGCAATGCAATCATGAGGAAGTTCTTGGGTACTAAACTTCACAAGTATTGTAGACTTTTTAAATGTTGGGTTTGTTCTCATTGGCTCTTGGCACTACATATGATATAGTTTGAAATCTAGTCTATTAAAAAGCATGGGTTTGCCAGTTTGCGAAAATAAGGTACGGAAATTGCAAAGCTGTTGATACTCAGTTCACGTTCTCATAGCATCCAAGAAACACGAAGCTGCAAAAGACGTGTTTGTGAAGATTCCCCAAGACTCTATAGCAGAAATATATAACCAATGGGAAGAACAGGGAATGGATACTCCACTTCCAGCGGAAGATGACAACGCTATACGGGAACATTTGTGTATTCGGGCGTATTTGGTAAGTTTCAAATACACTGTGTTCCAAGTTACCGCTTAGAAGTGATGGTGGCTTTGCCCATTTGATTTAACTTCTGATTCCTGAATACACTGCAGCTGTGCATTAATAACATTCTTGTAATTATATGAGTCGAAAATGTCCAAACGCTGTTTCCAATGCAATCCAGGAAGCCCATGAAACCTTTAACGAATGGTTTAAACACATGAACTCGGCTCCACAGAAGCCTTCTTTGATACCACAAGCAAGTTTCACTGAAAAAGTGGCCCATGAACATAAAGAAAAGAAGTACGAGGTAGGTAAAAGTTCAAGTGATTTACTGTAAACACTTACATTCTTGCTTGGGAGGCAGCCTTAGTATAATGAAATGGGGTAGGAGACTGCTAATTGATATTGCTTAAGAACTCTATTATAATTATTCTATTTTTATGTTGAGGGAGCGTGAGACAGTAAATAGTAATGCCACTGCACAGTAAATTCTCTTTCTTTTATATGACTCAACTTTACATATAATATTGTAATGTCATAGTAAATATTCATTATAATGTGTTGTTAGTGTTACTAATAAATCTGAGCACTTGATTTTGCTATTAACTTTTTTTATTCTTGTATTTGTCGCATTTCCGTTTCTAAAGGATGCCGCCGTTTTGTTTGTTGTGCCAAAAGTTCTTTCTGCATGCGTGGCCAGTATGAATTTACTGTATTCGGTTAATACAAGTATTTGACTTATAAGCATGGCGGAGTAAGTTATTTAAAATTATCTCCCTCGAGTGGCTTTGCTTCTGGACAGGGAATTAAGCAAGGATGGAAATCGCTGTTAGGGGCAGGCTTCTCAGTTTCAGCCATTGGCTGAAGATTGCCATTTGAATTGGAGCTGCGCTGGCTGTTGCATGCGAGGTGAAGAGCCTGAGATAAAATAGCCTTGGAAATTACCCTGTTCTGCAGTATTTTGGTTTTTGTTTCTTTGCCAGATGGATTATGGTATTTGGAAAGGCCTCTTGGACGCTCTTACAGCTGATGTGAAAGAGAAAATGTACAATGTGTTACTGTTTGTGGATGGAGGATGGATGGTGGATGTCAGAGAGGTAAAACTAATTTGTATGTTATGGCGCAGACCACAGAGCGCAGGCTGTACCCAGTTGTACCTCTGTCACCTTGAGTTGGATGCGCTTCTGTTTAATTTGCTCTGGCCTGGCTGCCACCAGTCCCAGATTGCTTCCCCTTCGGTCACCGTGTAAATCGGGTCTGACAGTCCGGTTTAGGCTGGTTAATCCAGTCTTTTTGCCTCTGACGCTACTGATGACGTGATTATGCCGAGTTGCCTTTTAAAGGCAGGTGTTCATGATACTAATACGTTGTTTTGCTGTGGTAAGGATGCCGAGGATGACCCTGAACGAACGCACCAGATGATTTTGCTGCGGAAGCTGTGTCTGCCAATGATGTGCTTTTTACTGCACACGGTGTTACACAGCACCGGGCAGTATCAGGAGTGCCTGCGACTGGCTGACATGGTCGCTTCTGAGCGACACAAGCTTTATACGGTGAGTTAGAGAGCGCTGCAGGCAGCTTAGCTTCCATTTAAAAGCTCTGTGGGTTGACTGTGGAAAAAGCTTCTATCTAGAGAGGAAGATGCCATATGTTCCGTAACATCATAAGTTTCTGTATCTCTTCCCATTCACGGCAGCAGTAAAGGGTTTCCTTGCATGCTGACTTCAGGAATCAGAGCGTTAACTGTGAAACACTGAAGGTGATGCCAGTGTTCTCACAAGCAGTTCTGAGTAGCGCAGTTACTAATTTGGGGGGGTGCTATTGCTATTGAATTGAAGTAAGTTTAATGGTTGGACTTGATGATCTTAAAGGTCTTCTCCAGCCTAGATGACTGCATGGTTCTAAGTTGAACTGTAGAATCGTAATTGACTTTTTCATTTCCATTACATTTCAGAACGTTGTGTAAGCGGGTTTTGTTTCGGAGTACTTGGTTTACCCCTAACCTTCTTTTCCTCCAAAAGCCTGAAACACAACTCCCAAAAACTCTATCACTTAAAAAAACCCAAACCCAACGAAAAAAAAAACCCAAACCTAAACCTCAACACTCCGCCCCAAAAAATCCCAAGGATTAGAAATCTGAAAAGAAACATCAAGGCTAAGAAGAATACTGCGATGCACTTGCCTGGATTGGCTTTAAGAGCTCTGCCAGCAGTAAGAGGAAGATTAAACTTGGCTGTTTACCAATAATGTCTGTAGGAGTTAGCAGACAGAGCTATCTTGAGACTGCCTTCAGGTTCTGGGTACTGCCGCTAGCTTCCGGCCCTTTACTGGGTGCCATTGTGAAACATCTGATATTCACACTGTCTTACACAGAAAGAAAGGAAGAAGTTAGTAACTTAATTAACCACCATCTACTTTGATAGCAGCGCTATTCATTGCAAATAAGTATAACTTCATTGGGTCTTTTATTCTTAGGTATTTTCAAAAGAGGAACTCCGAAAACTTCTACAGAAGCTGAGGGAATCTTCTCTGATGCTTCTGGACCAGGATCTTGATCCTTTGGGATATGAACTTTAGTCATAGGATTCCGTGTAGATACTTGCAAAAACTTCCGAACGCAGATGGACATTCTGGTTGTAAAAAAGAACAATACCATGACTTGGACAAACCGTACTCAGCGGGGGGGGGACGACACCCAACCCTCAGATTTCAATTTCAACTTGAAAAATTATGACCAACGTCAGAGAGATGATATTTGTTATACAACCTTTTTCATAATAATTTTTTTTCTAATAAAAGTGCTTCACAAACAGCAAATATTTGTTTGTTTCAATCTGACCTGTCATTATCTAAGTGCAGTGATTGAATGAGCCTCCCTCACCTCTTCGCTGCATGCCGAAGAGCTGCCTCTGAACTGGGAACGTTACTCGGCAAGGGTACAGGGGAGAGGGAAGGGAGGCTGCGGGAGGGTATATGTGGAAAGCAGGGGAGAAGAAACCAGACGCAGGGGGCTGGAGGACAGGAACGTCAAAAGAATGCGGTGAAGGGCCACTGGCACCCCTTCGGAAGAGAGAAGGGCTTGTGCTGGTCTCGGGTACAGGGCGTGGTTGCTAAAATCTTGATGTGATCCTGAACCGGAGGGAAGGTGATGGGTACCTTCAGCCTCCCGAGTCTCAGATTTGTGTAGTGTTCTGGCCCCGTTTACGAGTGTAACTCCACGTTTGGCTGCTTTTCGCTTAACCGGGGAGGGCAGAGCTGCAGTGAGGGCAGAGCTGCAGTGCAGTCGGGCGAGGGCTTCGGCTCCTTCACCCGCCCCGAGCCTTCCGGCTGTAGACGACGGACGCCGCGTGGGCTATAACTGCACGTACGTATGTTTTGTGTGTGTTTACGGAAATACCCAGCCCAGTTGCCGAGAGGGACTGGTACCCCGAGGAGAGGGTGTGTTTGCCCATCGCCGGACTGGTGGGACAGCGAGGCGGGAGGTGCCTGCGCGGGCGGACTCGGGGAGGGGGGGGTGTCCTTAGGGCCGCTCGGCG